AAAGTAAAACACACACCTTGATATGTCATGTGCCATTAGACCCATCAGAACAGAAGTTGGGCTAAGAGCAAATTTGTTTGATTAAAGGACATTCAACTTAAACTTTGAAGGATGGATTAGGATTTTGACTGGTAGAGATGGAAAAAAAGCATTTCAAATGAAAGCAAGAAACAAAAACTGATGTAATAGGAAATTGGGTTGGTCATTATCATTATCAAGAGGGATCATTATCAGTGATCCATTTATGTGACAGTTTATAATAGGGTTCATCAGGCTTTTTCTATGAAGTGTCACATAGTAAATATTTTAGTCTTTGTAGGCCGTATGACCTCTGGCACAACTATCAACTTTGCTATTGTAGCAGAAGTGCACAGAAAACACATAAATGAATGGGCATGGTTGTGTTTCAGTGAAACTTTACACAGTCAGGCAGTGGGTCAGGGTTGGCCTATAAGTTATGATCGCCAGTCTCTGATAGAAGAGTATGGTATGATTAGGGGGAAATAGGGCTGGAGAGGGAGATGGTCATCCGATTTCAGAGGGTTTTGAATATCTGGCTGAAGAGTTGGGAATTAACTGGTACTCTCCTTAATGAAACTATGATTGTCATACCTCTGTGACTGAAAATTGTGTATAAAAATGGTATGTTGAGAGCAAACTAGATCTCTTAGAGTCCCTAGTAAAACCTGATTTAGATCAGAAGCAGAAATTAGAAAGACTCCATGAGAATGGACCAAACAGTCAGATCATGGAAAACAGGAGCTTGTGCGTGAACTGGCCCTTAGGACATCTGGACCAAAAATGTCAATGTTCACTCTGCTCAAAAAATGATAGTGAACTGACTCCAAAGTAGATATTATATACATATTTTGGATACTAATGTGAATAGTTATTTTATTGAAAGCTCAGACAAGTCCCTAGTGCTAAGTCAGAAAGATGAGGATAGGTTCGAGGGTAAAGGAAAAAAAGCAAGTTTAGTCTGCTGACAGGTGAGGGAGCAGTAGACCTCCAAGTCTCAAGAAATAGCCCTCAGCTGAATGCTTTGGGGTTTTTAAGGAGACTAAAAGAAAGGGGGAGCTGGTCTGGCAGAATGATGGAGGAGCCACAAAATATAGCCTGACCAGGTTGTCTTTCTCCGTTTGCAAAAGAAGTTGAGGTTAGGAACAAGACGGTGTATGACTTAGGACACAGACGAGCAGGAAACCAGCAATCCAGCTCCGAAGTAAGAACAAACTCTGCATAAGCTGCCTGCACAGTGTCACCTGGTTGGTTTGATGGCCAAGTGGGCTTCAGTAAGCTTGTGGGCTATAGAAAGTGGTAGTTATTCCTGGCCTAAACCAGATCCCTTGAGACAATACTGGCCAGTAAGGTATTATCTACTGGAGAAGCAAATGACCTCACAAGTTCCATGATTAGAAACTTGTAGGGCCAATTGTACCACTCCCCTAATTCAGTGAGTTAACCCAAGGGAGCATGGGCCTGATGGTATCTAGCATCTGTATTCAAGGCACTGTTTGAGGGCTCAGTTTCAGTTATACATGTTCTAAATTATTTTCTGTATCCCTTCACGGATTATGTTAGATATTAGAGAAAGTTCTTTTGTCTATTAGTTTTTAATTTGTATTTCTTTTATGGTAGAACCAAATTTTGCAAGACTTTTTTTCATGTTTCCCCTCAGAATAAACTTCCTCAAGGCAAGACTATGTTCTATTAATGCTTATATCCCCAAATACCTATCTAGTGCAGCTCTGACAAAGCAGTCATTAAGTCATTCAATGAATTGAAGTGAGCATTTCTAATTGTTCCCATTTTATTCCACTGTGTTTTTGTGCTATTCATTTCTTTGTGGTTCTCATCAGAGTACATTAATCTCAACCAAATATTTTAAATTCATTTCATTAGAATATTTAAATTAAAATAAGGACCTATGATTTATTTATAAAAGGTTATATTTTGGCATTATGATCCTATAAAGGAAACAGAATTATACTGCATTAAATAAAAATGTTGTAGCTGGTCCCAACATAATGGAAAAGAAATAGGCAATTTTTTTGGCAGTGGAAAAATGTGCAAATGAGGTGGTTTTCCCATATGCACAATTGGTAATGTAATGGTGATAACATTAAAGGATAGTATCAGAAAAGAAGTGGGATTGTGATTTTATTAGCTCACTCCATGCATCTCATTAGCAGTATTTTTAGTCCCTCTGGGCTTTGATTTATTTATCAGTATGCTCTGGCAAAACCATAATATAATGTTTATTCTAATATGTCTTTTGACATATATCTCTTTATGTATTTATTAATCTGAGATGTAATGATTCTAAGTACTTAACAGTGCTTCTGCTAATCATGTGATAGATAATAAGCAGCCACCTCAGGACCTTGCTCATTGATATGTATTTTATTTTTACTTGTTTTTTCTCAACATGTAAATTACATGTTTTCTGAGGGTGCAGTTGAAATCATTTGGTCCATTTTAAACTCATGGTGACATAGTGAAAAGATGATTATGTGAACAAGACATAATAGTTATAATTAAGTGACAGAAAATAATACGTTCATAGAAAGCTGAAAAATACAACGCAGAAAGTAAGTAGATTATGTAGACAAATTTGTGGTTGAAAACCATATATTTAATCATGGAATCTGCCCAGTCTAAATGCCAGAGTGTTTTTGTTGTAGGCAAGGACTGCCGATTGCCGTGGGTGTACTTTGCTTTGGGCTGCCAGTGCAGTTTGCTTGATCAAAAGTAAACACCACAGAAGACAGAGGCATCCTGTCAGGAGCAGATAATGCTCTGTAACTTCCCCTCCTCTGTGGGGGAAAAAGAGTTATTCATGGATCTTTAATTGCTTTGACCAGGCTTTCAGCCAAACCTATTTTTTTTTAATGCTGTTTTTACTGTGCCTTGGGCTGGGGTGAGAGACAACACGCGCTCACAGATGTGAAAGGGAGGCACAGAGAGTCAGCAAATGAGCGTTTTCTTCTCAGCAATTGTTGGGAGCCAAAAAAGTCTGCTAGGACATGATGGAAGCAAATCCCTGAAACTTCCCCGAGCAAAGAGCATGGAATAGAGTGTGGGACTTCAGGAGCTTGTTAGTTATGAAACTATTACTTCTTAAAAAGATTTATTTATTTAAAAGGTGGAGTTACAAAGAGTCTTCCATCCGCTGGTTCACTCTCCAAATGGCCGCTATGCCCAGAGCTGGGCTAATCCAAAGCCAGAGCTTCTTCTGGGTCTCCCACATAGGCGCAGGGGCCCAAGGACTTGGGCCATCTTCTACTGCTTTTCCAGGCCATAGCAGAGAGCTGGATCGGAAGTGGAGCAGCCGGGACTTGAACTGGTGCCTTTTTGGGATGCCGGCACTGCAGGCAGCTCCAGCCCCTCCCTGTGAAATTTTAACCTCAGTTTCCTTACCTTAAAATTGGGTAATGTCTTGCAAGTTTGTTAGGATACAATTGGACAATGTATGTTAAGTTTCCAGCACTGAAATATTACACAAATTAATGTATATTATATGTGTTCCATGATGTCAGTTTTCACAAAATGGGATTGAAAAGAAAGCGATTACAACAGTCTGTTAGTTTTTTTTCAAATTGAGCTGGATTGGACCCTGTTTATCAAGTTTCCTTATATACTAACTTTACTAAGTTATTTAAGGTATAGATATAGTGGATCTCATCAGAAAGGGAGACTTTGATTTTGATAGCCCAGAAGTGGCCTGTGCAAACAGTTTTTCCTAATTGTGTTACTCATTTGCTCATCAAATTTGTATTAACATTATATTACATGTGACAAAAATAAACATGTCCATTTTGGATTATAAAATGTCTTAGATATTTTGTGAATCAAACCCGGTTTCTGAATGTCAAGAGACTTTAGAATGAAGAGGTTAGACTTCAGAAAGTCAAGAGTGTCTTACTTTGGCAAGTGTACTTTCACAAAGATGAAACAGATGGAATGTGTAGGTGTGTGTGCATGTGTGTGTGTATGAATTTAGCTTAAGATCTTATCACATATTGAGATTTGTCTATAAATCCAACAGCTCTGAGAATTTCTGAAACTGATATTTGGAGCAGATGAATTGACAGAAATTATCTATTGAATATACTGTTTCTTACTGAATATGCTGCTGGAAGAGCCATGGCAGGTACATTTAGTTTCAGTAAGACCAAAGATCAAATTGTACTAGGGACTCCTAATTCCCTCTTCTTTTGGTTCTTTCCAGTCTCTTATGTGGTTTATTATGTCTTAACATATTTTTGGCACTTAACCTTTATCTTTCCTTCACTTTCTCTTGTAAATGATACAGTGCCCTATTAAATAAAATAGCCTATATTTATAGTGGTACCCTATATCATTTAAGGTACTTGGTTTAGGAACAAGCAATAGAAACTGACTCTGGCTCTGAGAAATAAAGGGACTTTGTAGGAAGGATTATGATGTGGTTTGCATTAGCAGAGGAGCTGCACTACCCAGCTTTGGGAAGGAGAGGGATCAGGGAGGTGCTGGAAAGCACAGTGGGTAACTGTAGCAGCCGTGGGCTTCTGTGTATCTTTAGGCACATTCCGAAGTCCTGCTAAAATCTGTGTGGCCTACTTTATGCCCGTGGCTCAGTATATTTTGACCAGTCGATGAGGGGCTGGGTGGCTGGGGGACTTTTTTTTTCTTTGAATTGAACAGCAGCTACTTGTTCTCTACATCTTTAAATAGCTTTTTGTATTAGATGGACCTGTTCAAGTACCTTTGGTTTAGAAGCTCATCATGTTCTATAGGTTACAATCTTTTATTTTTTTTATCCAAGTGTAAGATTTCCCATTTGAGTTTGAGACCATCCTTTAATGAACCTCTTTCTTTGTCCACCCATAAATGTGCATTTCCTAACATACAACAGTTTTCTATTGTTATTCAGATGTGCTGAATGATATCCTAAAGTGTAGTGGCCCATAGACTCTAGCATCTAACATGCTGGTTTTTCTGGCTTTTTTCACTTTCAGTGTCCATGTTTATGCTGAAAGTCCAAGTGAATGACATCATCAGTCGTCAGTACCTGAGTCAAGCAGTTGTAGAAGTATTTGTAAACTACACGAAGACAAATTCTACTGTAACTAAAAACAATGGAGCAGTGTTGATAAAAGTACCCTATAAATTAGGACTCAGCTTAACCATTATTGCTTACAAAGATGGTTACGTGTTGACGTCTCTGCCTTGGAAGACTGGAAGAATGCCAAGTAAGCACTTAAATGGGTTTTGCAGCCCCTAAATGTAAATGATTATTTTTTTCTCTGTTTATGATGCCTAAATGATGTGTTCAGAAGGACGTTAGAAGAGCGTGCCATTTTTAAGAAACCATTATCTTAGTCTGGGCTTCTCAGACTGCCATAAACTCAGTAGTTTATAAACAACAGGAATTTATTTTTCATAGTTCTGGAGGCTGAGAAATGCAAGATCTAAGTACCAGCAGATTTGGTGTCTGGCGAGAGCCTGACTTGTGATTTCTAGATTACACCTTCTTCCTGGGGCTTTAATCCATGATAGAAGAGGCCAAGGAGTTCTCTTGAGCCTATTTATAAGGGCACTAATCCCATTCATGAGTGCTCTGCCCTTTTGTCATAATCACTGCCCCAAAAGGCCCCACCTCTTGATACTATACCTTGGAAGTAAGGATTTCAGTGTAAGGATTTTGGGGAAGAAACAAACCTTCTGACCATAGCAATCATGAAGGCATTTTTCCTTTGTAAAATTATTCATTTTCATCTTATTTCAGAAGCAGAGACAGATTTTTTGTCTACTAATTCATTTCTCAAATGTCCATAACAGCTGGGGGCTGGGCCAAGCCAAACCCAAGAGCCAGACCTGAATCTGAGTCTCGTATGGTGTGCATTAGCAGGCATACTGGAATTGGGAATGGAGCTGGGCCTCAAACCTAGGAGCTGTGGATGCTAGTGTCCCAGTTGGAGTCTTATTTGCTGCACCAAGTGGCTGCCCAGGCCTTTTCCTTCAAAAGAGACTGTTCTTCACTGCCTCCTAGAGTTCAGCTCTGGACAAAGCTTGTCTGCAGGTGCTGCTGCAGGGGCTGGGAACAAGGACTAGTGAGAGGCAGGGTGGGCCAGATGATGAAAGGACATTCTTAGGTTAAACCAGCAGTTTAGATTTCTGTGCTAAATAATAAGGCAGTTATTGTACATTGTTGAGCACAATGAGTGTAGGTTATATGGAAACTGGATTTGCTCAGTACGGTGTAATGAATAAGCCAGCAGCACAGCTAAAGTGAGAACCTGACTAGCAAACTATGGCAGTGCTCTTACCCAGGAAATTCAGCCTGAACCAGAAAGGGAATGAGAAGGACAGGTGAGTGTGAGAGACCTACTGAAGAAGGAATTGGTAGAACTAGTGCAGCTAATTGGATATTGGAAAGGATACCAGAACACAAATTTGACTGGAATTATGATACTTCAGTTATTCAGTCTTTTAAAAAAAAGGATGCTGGTTCTTATTAGGATTTAGATACTTTGTTTGCTTTCACACTGGAAACATTTGAATTCTTAAATAGTTATTTAAATTTAGAATGAGAGAAATAAGATGAAAAGTAAAGACATTCACACAAAACTTTAAGTCATAACTGGAAAAATCACAATAGGATTGCTTGAGGTGAATTCATAACTACTCATTCAGTAAAGTTAGAGAAATAAAGAAGAAACCAAGTAAAATGGTAAAAAAAAAAAGAGATAATAAAGATTAAACTGGATTGACATACATTGGAAAATACTAGGAAGAGATCATTGAAAAAAATCTTTTTTTTTTAACTTTTATTAATGAATATAAATTTCCAAAGTACAGCTTATGGATTACAATGGCCCCCCCCATAATGTCCCTCCCACCCGCAACCCTCCCCTTTCCCTCTCCCTCCCCCCTTCCATTCATATCAAGATTCATTTTCAATTCTCTTTATATACAGAAGATCAGTTTAGCGTATATTAAGTAAAGATTTCAACAGTTTGCACCCACATAGAAACACAAAGTGAAAAATACTGTTTGAGTACTAGTTATAGCATTAAATCACAATGTACAGCACACTAAGGACAGAGATCCTACCTGAGGAGTAAGTGCATAGTGACTCCTGTTGTTTACTTAACAAATTGACACTCTTGTTTATGGCATCAGTAATCACCCTAGGCTCTTGTCATGAGTCACCAAGGCTATGGAAGCCTTTTGAGTTCACCAACTCTGATCATATTTAGACAAGGTCGTAGTCAAAGTGGAAGTTCTCTCCTCCCTTCAGAGAAAGGTACCTCCTTCTTTGATGACCTGTTCTGAAAAAAGTATTTTTTTAAAAAGATTTATTTATTTGAAAGAGTTACACACACACAGAGATCTTCCATCTTCCATCCAATTGTTCACTCCCCAGTTGGCCACAACAGCTGGAGCTGCACCTATCGGAAGCCAGGAGCCAGGAGCTTCTTCCAGGTCTCCTATGTGGGTGCGGGGCCCCGAGGACTTGGGCCATCTTCTACTGCTTTCCCAGGCCATAGCAGAGAGCTGGATTAGAAGTGGAGTAGCTGAGACTCAAACCGGCACCTAAATGGGATGCCTGCACTTCAAGCAGCAGCCTTACCCACTATACCACAGTGCCAGCCCCAAGTCTAGTTTTGTGATATAAAAAAAGTATACGTATATTGGCTAATCTAAATTAAGATGAGGGAAATAAGACAACAAACAAATACATAAAAACTTTTTAAAAAGTGAAGAATGGTCTACACCAGGGACTGATGTTATGGCCTAGCTAATTAAGCTGCTGCTTATGACATTGACATGACGAATGAGATCATGGTTTGAGTCCAGGCTGCTCTGCTTCCAGTCCACCTTCCTGCTAATGCACTTGGAAAAGTAGCAGAAGATGGCTGAGTACTTGGGCCCGTGCTACCAATGTGAGAGTCCAGGATAGAGTTCCATGCTCATGGCTTCAGGCCCTCCCAGAACAGGCAGTTGCACCCATTTGGGGAATGAACCAATGGATGAAAAATTCATTCTCTCTCTCTCTCTCTCTCTCTTTCCGTGTGTGTGTGTGTGTGTGTGTGTGTGTGTGTATCTCACTGTTTCTGTTGATTTGCCTTTCAAAAAACAAATCCTTTAAAAAATGTTTGGCACCAAATCTGATGGCAGTAATCTTAAAATGTTCAATAAAATGAATAGTTTTTTGATATATAAAAGACTTTTGATTTCAGATGACCTAGACCTATAACTGTTGGCTAGAATGTTCTAGGTACAAAAACTTGATTAAATATTATAAAGAAGTACTACAAATCTAGTGTAGCCTTGATTTTATATTAAGAGAACAAATTACAATTACTATGTAATAATAATGACCTGGGTAACAGTTGAAATACGTGTGTCCAAGTCTTCAGCTTTTTCATAAATGCTAACCCCTGCATCCGCTAGTAGTAATCTCTCTCAAAGACAAACATACAAATAAAGTGAATTGACATTTGTGCACCTGGATGTTGATTCCATATTTTTTAAAGAATGAAATGGTAATAGTCTAAATCTATAGTATTATGGCACTGCTTAAGTAAATCTTGCTACTTTACTTTTAAAAAGATTTGTTTATTTGAAATAGTGAAAGAGAGGGAAGGAAGAATGTAGAGAAGGGGAGAGAGAAAGAGATCTTCTATCTGCTGTTTCACTCTCCAGATGGCTACAATGACCTTATCTGGACTAGGACAAAGCCAGGAGCTAGGAGCCTCTTCTGGGTCTCCCATGTGGGTGGCAGGGGCCCAAGTACATGGGTCATGTTGTGTTGCCAGGCCATTAGTTTGGAGCTGGATCAGAAGTGGAGCAGCTGGGACATGAACCAGTGCCTATAAGGAGTGCGGCATCACAGTCCATGGCTTTACTTGATACGCCACAATGTTGGCCCCAAATGAAATATATGTCCTTAAAATGTTAAGAGTTTCTAATGAGAAACATATTTTTGAGAATGTAAAAATAGTCACTATATAGTCATACTCTGTATTTTTAAAAATCATTGGCTATTTACATTAAAATATTAATAGTTGGTGATATTGTGAAAATCGTTTTCTTTTTATTCTTTTCTGTATATCTCAGCTTTTTCCAAGTTAACATTGTATCTTTTCAATAAATAGAAAAAATTCTAAGTAATAAGAAATATGAATGTTTTAGTGAGGTTCCAAAAGATTTTCCTAGGTTTTAATTGCTGATAAAGCTATCTGGCTGTCGTTGAAAGTCCAAATATGAAATAATGCCCTACTTGTAATCATTCTGAGGTCCATCCTAAGATCCCACCACTGTCTCCCCAATTGAATATATTAGTCTAAATGTTAATATATTCTGATAGTGAAATTACCTATTAATTTGGTCATTATTTTTTCCCTTGGAAACAAGAAGTATGTTTTACTTCCAGTCATTGCATGCTTTTTGTATGTACTCTTTCTCCTATTTTCTTTAAAGGTCTTTGAAATATCTCAAATTATTAAAGATATTTCCATGCAGATGTGCTTTTTTTTTCCCCATAAGAGGTTTGAAGATACTATGCTATTTCTGTTCAGTTTAAATATTTACATATCATAGAAGAGAAATATGAGAAATCATGCTTTAGGCAACTCCCCAAAATTATTTTTCTTTTGTAGGATTGGTAAGTTGATTTGATTAGTTCCTCAATTATAAAGCCATCTTTTTCCTAGCTTCTTGATTAAGATCTTGAAATGATTAGCCATCTTTCAAATGATCTTCTTATTCTATCAGTTATTTTATGTGCCTGTTCTTGTTGACAGGTTCAGCCTCTCTCTGTGTCACTACTAAAGGGAGTGCATCGCTCTTTGTGGTATACTCTTTCTTCCTCTGCCAGCTCTGAGTCCACTTGGGAAATCACATCATGTGTAGAAGGGCACTGTGCTCTTATATAGGAAATTAAAAAGTGAAGAGTGGATGTAGTTCATCTAGATAACCTGGGATCGTGGAGCTGAGAAACTTAAACTTCAGAAGTGAATAACAAGTAACAATTAAGTAAAGAAAAACCAGAAGTTTATTCAAGCATTTAACTTAATATTTATATCTGGGGTTAGTAATGGAACATCATTAGTCATGTTGGTACGAACTACCATTTGAAGTAGAAAATATTAATGAATCTTTTTTCTTTCCATATTTTATATGTGGTGTCTTCAAAAAGAATGGAAATGCATTTTGTGAGAAAACTATGCATGCATTTCAAATTTTTGCATCAAAATACTTATTCTAATTGAGAAATCTTGAAATCCCTTCATGATCATTATTCCCTTGTTTTATTTTTGCCATCAAGTTTTCCACTTCTCAGGACTTGTTGTGAAAGAATTGTATTTGTCCTATTTATTTCCTTGTATTACATATACTAATTGTGTTATGTTTCATAGTATATTCATCAGTTACACTTTCACTGTTCCCGCAAAGTCAAGCAAATATATGGCTATTTGAAGACACTGTTTTAATTACTGGAAAATTAGCAGGTAAGTACAGTATTTCTTACTCGGTAAATAACTGCTGCTTGTCATAATGATCTTGGATAGATCCTCATGAGCTGCAAGTTGGTGTGTGAAAGTGTCGCTTGACAGAGCTTGCATCTCTCTTTACCTTTTTTCTATGTTACTGTGCTTTTTCACTAAGGAGCTAATGTTGATTATGAGCTGGGAGATACCTAAATTTATCATTATTAGTATTGACTACAAGTTGATCAAACCACTTTTTATTTTACTATCAAGCGAAGAATTTATATGTAGTGGGAATTATTTTCTCCTTTGTTCTTTTTGTCCCTCATATAGGAGTTTTAAAATGCTTTTATTTGAAATGTGGAGACAGGGAGATCTTCCATTTGCTGGTTCACATCCTAAATGCCTGCAACAGCCAGGGCTGGGCCAGATCAAGCCAGGAGCCTAGAACTTGAACTGGACCTCCCACATGTGTGGCAGGGACCCAAGCATTTGAGCCATCACCTGCAGCCTCCCAGGGTGCACACTGGGAAGAAGCTGAGATTGGAGTGGAGTCAGGACTCAAACCCAGCACTCTGATACGTGATGTGGGCATCACAGCTGCAGTTTACCTGCTGAGCCTGATGCCCATGAACCACCCTCTCCCCGCACCCTGCAAGTAGGGAGTTCCGACTGTGGAAAGTACTGGACAAACTTCTGCTGTCCTTCCTACATCTCAGCTTCATTGGGCTTCAGTGGTTGGTGAAATTGGGAAAAAGGCAACATAGATTGCTTAGAACCTTGGGGTTTTTTAATTGCATGTCTTTCCCTTGTTACTTGCTACATTAATCTCACTGCCTGTCTGGGAGAGGCCCGAGATTTCGCTGGGTAAGGATCTGCTTGTGGGACATGCATTTCCCTGATTGCATACACATCCTAAGGAACTTAGTGCAGAAAGCCTTGTTCTGGGTGTTGGTTCAAGCTGGGTCTTCCGGTGTCATGTTACCAACCCTGAAGATGGCAATTTCATTTCTACCTCACCTATACCCACACCATAATTTGTGCCTAGGAGGAACCCCAGTATTCTGTGACTCCTTAAGATTTAGTGACAACAGTTTACTTTTGTTTGTTTTACATTGGTAAATTTTGTTAGATTTAAAACAATGCAAATGACTGGTAAAAGAAAATCCTCAAGATAGTAAGACAGGCATAGTAAAAAGAACAGTTTATGAGAATTCTTTTCAATTTTATAAGCTGTTCTATTTGTCCCTAAAATATTGAAACAAAAAACTTTAATGCATGGTCCTTGTGGCCCATCAGGTTAATGTGGATTAATCAGGATTAATCAGTATGTCAGCACCCCCACCAGAGTACTGGTTTGAGACCGGTTGCTCTGCTTCCCATCCTGATCCAGTTCCCTGCTGATGCACCTGGGAAGCATCCGATGATGGCTCAAGTACTCGAGTTCCTGGTTCCAGGCTAAATCCTATACCAGCCCTAGCTGTTGTGACTATCTGGGGAGTGACCCCTTGGATGGAAGTCTCATTCATTCATATTCTCATTCTCTCTCTCTCTCTCTCTCTCTCAAATAAATTAAAGAAAATTACCTATGGCTTGATTAATCTTACAGTAATCTACTGAGTGAAGCTGTAGAATGTCTTACTCTGAAATGCCTTGGTAAAATTCGAGGCACTTCTTTTGCTTATCTGTGGCAGAATGGCGGATATGCAATAGTGTGTAGAAGAATGTGAAATGCTAGGAACCACATGTCTGCAGAGAGAGATACATTTGATGTTGCTGGGGCTTTAATGAAATTAGATTTTTCCACTGCTCCTCTTTAGTTTTTTATTTGTTCTGACACATCCCTATCGCTGACTGGCTTCTTCAAACCCCACAGAAAATCCTAGTTTCTGCTTAAATGCATGCATGGATCAGTATGAAATGGCCTGGACCATTCCTTTGCCATTGTACCAAGCAGTGGTGAGTGCACATTGGTCTAGACAGTACTGACCATGCCTTGGGTTGTGCCCGTGAGAATCCTAAGTCCTCCTGATGTCTCAGGTTATTTGTACTGTATTGTTTCTCTCTGAGGTGACTCTCTGGTAAGGCCATGTGGGTGAGGATGATATATCTGATGATGAGGAATCTTCCCACAGAAGGATACATCCTCACTTCCACAAAATATTTGATTAAAAGAAACTCAGTTTGTACAGTGAAAATGTGTTAGGCCTGGGTATGGACGTATTTGTGGTCAAAGTAGTAGAGGAAATTGGAAATGTTAGGAATGTGTAAGCCCATACAGAAGTTTACACAGAAGTTCAGCTAGCAAATAAACTCTGGCAGAATTAAGCAGTCTTCAGTACAAAGGTGCCTTGTGTGATCTAAAGGAGGGGAACTTTCTCATTTAGTTATGAATTTAAAATATTATATGAGCAAATGTTTGTCATTCCGAAATTTTAAAATAATTATAACTGCTTGCTTTTGCTTAGTGTGCATTTGTTTTGTCTGTTTGCTAATGTGGTTTCCTTTTTTCAGATGCCAAATCTCAACCAAGTGTTCAGTTTTCAAAAGCCTTAATTAAACTTCCTGATAACCATCATATTAGCAATGTTACTGGCTATCTTACAGTTCTACAACAGTTTCTAAAAGTGGATAATTTTCTGTACTCAACTGGAATTACTCTCAGTAAACCAGGTATCATCTAATTTTACATAATTTAATCAACTTTGTAAGCAGTAGTATATAAATCTTTAGATGGGTAGTTATTTAAGCTTTGGAGAATAAATGACATTTTTGAAATACAAATCTGGTTATTAAGATGTTTATAAGCAAGTCCTCCTTGTATAGTGATACATTACTTTGAAATAATGGAAATTTCACTTTACTTAATTTGATAAATCTCATTTGATCCAAAGCAGGAAAGCATAGTATAGAAAACGTTGATTACCTTTATATATGGAAATTGTATTTAAAGAAGCTTATATGCTTTAATAATTTGAGTTATTGATTCTTATAAGTGGCAATGATTGAGATATAAAAATTATTTTTATAGATTTGGATAAAATACTATATTAACTTTTTAAAAATGATTTATTTATTTGAGTTGTGCAGAGAGAGAGAGAGGTCTTCCATCCGCTGGTTCATTTCCCAGTTGGCCACAACAGCTAGAGCTGTGCCAATCTGAAGCCAGGCGCTTCTTCCGGGTCTCCCACATGGGTGCAGGGGCCCAAGGACTTGGGCTTTACCACTATGCCACAGTGCTGGCCCCATGTTTTTATCTTGATATATAGTTGATATTTTCTGAGTAAAAACTTAATATATCTGTTTCATAATCAACAGCTCTAATATATAAAACTTTCATTACTTAGAAGTTAAGGGAATGAAGGGACTTTGCATTTATTCAAGAGTACACATAGAATAAAAATGTCCTATATTCACTTAGCACATCTACAGTTGCTTCATCATTTCTACCACTTGTTACAGTATAACTAAAGTTACACTATTTAAAAATCACCTTGGACAATGTATAATAGCCAGAAATGAGAGTAGTAGAATAAATATATATTTGGTTAGATACTTTTTTTTTTTTTTTTTTTTTTTTGGACAGGCAGTGTTAGAGAGAAAGGTCTTCCTTTTTCCGTTGGTTGACACCCCCCCCCCCCCCACCAAGTGGCCGCTATGGCCGGCGCGCTGTGCCGATCCAAAGCCAGGAGCCAGGTGCTTCCTCCTGGTCTCCCATGCGGGTGCAGGGCCCAAGGACCTGGGCCATCCTCCACTGCACTCCCGGGCCACAGCAGAGTTGGACTGGAAGAGGAGCAACCGGGACTAGAACCCAGGGTGATGGCGCCGCAGGTGGAGGATTAGCCTTAGTGAGCTGGGGCGCTGGCCTAGATATTGTTTAACCTGCAGTAGCTGATACTGTCAGCCATATGGTCCTTGCTCTTTTGTTACAAAGGGGTGTTTCCTACTGCTCACATCTGTGACTGCCTATGGGCATTCCCTGGTAGGTTTGGCTCTTAACATGGGACAAGCCTTCATCCAGTGACAGTCAAGGGTTGGTCCATAGATTCCTTGCTTTGGCTTCAAATCTGAGCCAGCTTCTCTCCTCCATGGCACTGGATTGGAGTTTCTACAGCCACTCCCTTAGTAGAAGGTGCTTCCTGAGCTTGCCTCCCAAATAACATGTACTCTAATTCTCTCAGGGTCTGCTTCTTGAGGGAGCTAATCTAGAATGCCTACTAGGAGCTTCCAGATGTAACTTAAAGGATGTTCAAAACAGAAACAAAAGAATGGTGCTAACGTATGCATCCATAAATGAAGCACCTGTTACGCTGGAGGACATTCATGGATAAGACTCGTTAGATTGAGTGGGAAGGGGTCACAAGCTCTGTCCTTTCCCCAACATTCTTCTACAAACCACACAACTTTGGGACTATTCATTAAAATTTTTGATTACCCAGAGAATGCTACTATCTTTTAACAAGTTCTAGAGCAGTGCTGCCCAATGGGAATGTTCTGTCCAGTATGCTGTCCACTAGCCACGTGGGACCCTGGAGCTCTTGAAATATGACTGGTACATTGAGGAGCTTGATGAAAGCTAAATTTTAATAGCCACATGCAGCTTGTGGCCTCTGTTGGATTTCGTATTCCATAGTCCTGGAGTTGTGTGAGTATGAAAGTGTTCTTTTAGGAACATTTCCCCATCCTCCTCATTGTATTGGCCTTTTCTTTTTCTCGCCCCTTCTTGGAGTGTGCTTTATCTAAAATGATGGGTTATCAGTCTGCAGTTTGTGAAGCCATAAACTTCATGGAGCTGATGGGGGAGATGGAAGGAGGCGCTTGGGGAAGCTAGATGCTGGGTTTTACCGAATAGTTTGATATATTGTAGGTATTTAGCAGACTATGTAAAAACTTGTGTTTACACTGGATTACTTACTGGTATATTTGTCTACAAAATATGCATGACATTAATTTGTTCATTTGATATTAGTATCTAAGGAGTTTCCCGGCTAGTTCTCAAAGTGGACATTGTCTGTTAGCCAGTAGTTGCTGAGATAACTGAAAACATATGCCGAATGACAGTGCTAGTGATAACAGGAACTCCTTTTCTACACTGCCACCTCCCTGCCTCTCTGCATCTGCCAGGATCACTCCTTCCCTTCCTTCCTTCTTTCCTTTATTTATTTGAAAGTCAGAGTTAGAGAGAGTGGGAGAGAGAGGTATCTTCTATTTGCTGGTTCACTCCCCAGATTTTTACGAGGGCTGAGCCAGGCTGAAGCCAGGAGCTTCTTCTGGTCTCCTACTTGAGTGGCTCAGGCACTTGAGCCATCTTCACTGTTTTTTCAGGCCATTAGCAGGGAGCTGGATTGGAGGTGGAACAGCCAGGACATGATCTGGTGCCCATGAGGGATTGCCAACATTGCAGGCCATGGGTGGCTTTACCTGCTACATCATAATGCCAGCCCCCCAGGATCACTCTTGATGTGAGGTCTTTGAACTTATTTCTCCCATCTGTAAAGTTCTTTTGAGGTCTTTGCACAGATGGTTTCTTTGCATTTGGCTGCAGCTCAAATGTGCATTTCTCCAAGAGGAGGCCTTCTTTGTTTTTCTAGATTGTCAATACCTACACACACACCCTCTCCACCTGAATGTAAGTACATGGCAATGTGTAAAGAAATGGGGGGGAAGGGCTGAGGGGTTAGGATTTTTGAGAATCAGTGAGGACTACAGAAAAAAATATTGCAGACAATATAAGAGATCATGTACTTATTGTATTTTAGGAGCCCATATGATTACATTGGGCCAGTTAGGACTTTAAAATATGTTAAATGATTGAATAGCACTGTAACTCTTTGAGGACAAAAGTTTCAAGATTTGGACAAGAAGCAAATTATGTATACAAAGTATACTTTCTCTAACTGATTAATATGTTAGTAAATTACTCATAAAATCTAAAATTATTAAATTACTCCTAGAAATCAACATTATAATTAAAAATTATCTATAGCTACATTTTATTGTAAATATTCTGGTACATATAACTTTGCTTGAAATTGATAATATTTCAAAAATAAGAGAATCATCTACTGTTTTTTTAAATAACAAATCTCTAACTCCTGATATTTAAGGAAGCATAGTATAAATTATATGATCAAATCTTTAAAATCTTAGGCAAAACAGTATAATTTTTCTAGTAATCTTTTCTCCTATTTTCAAGCTTTGAAGTCTAATACAGTGTGATATTAGTATTGAAGTCTTCTTTCAGTTATATTGTGTTTATCAAATAATATTACATAATGATTTTATTTTATTTGATTGCCAAGCCTATATGTTAAACTGTCCTGGTGGTAATGATACCAATTAAGAAGCAGGTATTCCATAACAAGTACCTGGGTTCAGTTCCTGGCTTCAGTTCCTGGATCCAGTTCTGTGCTGATGCAGATCCTTGGAGGTAGCAGTGATGGCTCAAGTAATTGGGTCCCTGCCAGCCACCTGAGAGAACTTGAGTTCCTGTTTTACAGTTCAATTTGACCTATCTTGATTAATGTAGGCATTTGGGGAATGACTGAGTGGTAGCCCTGTGTGATAAACCATTTCTTTTAAATTGCACTTTGATTTGGAACGCTTCTTACAGAAGACATAGAGCTAGTGTGTTGGTTCTAGCACTCACTGAAGCGAGTGATCTTGGGTGAAATAGGGCCAGATGTAGCAGATCTGCATCTGCATTGATATGACACTACTGAGAGATGGGTTTTATTTTTTTCTTTCTTTATCTCTCGGACAGGCAGAGTGGACAGTGAGAGAGACAGAGAGAAAGGTCTTCCTTTGCCGTTGGTTCACCCTCCAATGGCCGCCGCGGCCAGCGCGCTGCGGCCGGCGCACCGCGCTGATCCGGTGGCAGGAGCCAGGAGCCAGGTGCTTTTTCCTGGTCTCCCATGGGGTGCAGGGCCCAAGCACCTGGGCCATCCTCCACTGCACTCCCTGGCCACAGCAGAGGGCTGGCCTGGAAGAGGGGCAACCGGGACAGAATCCGGCGCCCCGACCGGGACTAGAACCCGGTGTGCCGGCGCCGCTAGGCGGAGGATTAGCCTAGTGAGCCGCGGCGCCGGCCCGAGAGATGGTTTTTTTGATTGTTGGTTTTTAGATTTTTAAACATTGAATTAAATTCTGGTGCTCTTAAATGACTGACAGCATTAGATAAATTAGGCTAAAATTTATTTGTCAGTGTTTCATTGTAGAGCTCATAATTAAGAAATATTTTGAAATAACATTTAAGAAACACTTAATATGGGGCCAGCGCTGTCATGTAGTGAGTAAAGCCACTGCCTGCAGTGCCAGCTTCCTATATGGGTGCTGTTTCGAGACCTGGCTGCTGCACTTACAATCCAGCTATCTGCTATGACCTGGGGAAGCAGTAGAGGATGGTACAAGTGCTTGGGCCCCTGCACCCAAGTGGGAGACATTGAAGAAGCTCCTAGATCTTGGCCACTGCAGCCATTTGGGAAGTGAACCAATGGATAGAGAATCTCTCTCTGTAACTCTGCCTTTCAAATAAAGCTTTAAAAAAAGGTTTTTAAAAAAGAAATACTTAATATGGATCCAGTAACTACTTGGTATTAAAATGGATAACCATAGGTTAAATACTTATATAACTAGATATTGCAGACCCATTATTATGAAATTATAACCTCGGTTTACATTTTATTATAATAAACTGATCTCTGTTAGGTTTTGAAAACATTGAATTGACTCCTCTTGCTGCGATATGTGTGAAAATATATTCTGGAGGAAAAGAATTAAAGGTTGATGGCCCTATTCAAATTTCTCTTCCACTTCTACATACAAATGATATAAGTGTGGGGGATCGCATACCTGCTTGGACATTGGATATGAACACAGGTGAGTTAAATAGGTGAAAGTATTTTGTTTAAATATTTGGATATTTTATCTAAGAGTGTTGCAGCTACAGTTTTTCAGTAATGTTAAAATTTTATGTATTTTGTTAGTGACAAAATTGTTTTCACTTTGATGAATATAGTACAACTATGGGGAAAAATTTAATAACAATTCATTATGTCTTTTAAAAATAGCATTTGAGCCAGGACCAGCATTGTGGGTAAAGCTGATACCTGCAATGCTGGCATCTCATATAGGTGCCACTTTCTGTCCTGACTGTTCCATATCCTATCCAGCTGCCTGCTAATGGCCTGGGAAAAGTAGCAGCAGATGTCCCAAGTGCCTGGGTCCCTGCTACCCATCCTGGCTCTTGGCTTTGACCTGGCCCATTTCTAGCCATTGCAGCCATCTGGGAAGTGAACGAGTGGATGGAAGATCTCTATGTGTCTCTTCTTCCCTCTTTGTAACTCTAACTTTCAAATAAATAAATAGATCTTTTTTAGAAAGATAATATCACTGCTACTTATTGGCAAGGGAATACAGTCTAATATTATTGCTATTGTAAATCATTAGAGTAAGAGCATGATCTGTTTATGGAAGTATGGTTTTGAGCAAGTCATATAAGTTACCTGGATTTTAGCTTTCCAATTTGTTGAATGACAGAGATGTTTCACAGCATTTTAAGGAGAATAGCTGCTGTTTTGAGGTCTGGTTTCTGATTGTTCCTCCTGGCAAGCACCTTTGCATGTAACTTTCAGTGATAATATTTTTGAATTGGCTTATCACATTTACAGTATTTTAATTTTAAAGTGACTGCACTTACGCATTATTTAACAGTGGAGGTTCAGTCTGAACACATCATTAGGTGACTTTGTCATTGTGTACATTTAATGTAAAGTAACTATGATGTAAGCAGGTGATATAATCCAAGGGGAGCACAATTGTAAATGTGGTCTGTGTTTGACCAAAATGTTGTGTGGCACATTTAAAAGCAGTAGAGTGAATTATTGCCATCATGTCAAATTCTCCACCTTACTAAAAATACTGTTTTACATATTGTAGATAATTGACTATTACAAATCAATAAGCCAGAATACAAACATATACAGTAAGGCTGTGAGCAGCTTTGTTATGCTATTTATACATAAAATTTCATATATGGTATGGGTTTTACTGAATTCTTCTTTCCATAGATGGCAAAATTTTATTGGTTTAGATAGCATTTTCTGAAAGTTTAAAAATATCTAGGCCCAAAACAACTATACTAATAGTACTAGAGTAGTGTTTGACAAATAAAAAATTTCAATAAGATTTTTAAATATGATTATAAAACACATATTGTGAGAGTTTAATCAAAATCTCAGAACAACCAATATGAATTGGGATTTTACTACTTACACCCTTAAATGTTTAAACATGGAGCCTGCACTGTGATGTAGTCTGCCTGTGATGCCGGCATCCCATGTTCATGTCCTGGCTGCTCCTTTTCTAATCCAGCTCCCTACTATGGCCTGAAAAAGCAGTGGAAGATGGCCCAAGTGCTTGGGCCCCTGCATCCACATAGGAGACCTGGAAAAAGCTCTTGGCTCCGGATCGGCCCCTCTCCAGCCGTCACAAGCCATTTGGCAAGTGAACCAGAGGGCGGAAAACCTTTCTCTTTGTCTAACTCTGCCTCTCAAACAAATAAAAAGAAGATGTTTAAATAATTTAAACTTTATTTCCTTTGGTCATAAATATTTCAAATTATCCTATTTTTTATTTTATATATATATTGTATAATATGTCATTTGTCAAGGGGCTTCCAAATGAACATTTTGAAGCGTCCTTATTTATTATCCCATGATAATGTGTTGCCATGGTTTTTATAGTCTTGGAAAAAAGTCCTGTAAAGTATTCTTCATAAGACTATAAGCAAAATCCTATCAGTGCTAAAGATATAATAGCTAGTTGTTTTTTTGTTTTGTTTTGTTTTGTTTTACTTACATTCCTTTTTAGGTGCTTGGGTAAATCATGGCCGGGGGATGGTCAAAGAACATAACAATCATTTAGTTTGGACATATGACGCACCACATTTGGGCTACTGGATAGCAGCTCCACTTCCTGGATCTAGAGGTATTATAAATATAAAACAAATTAGTTTTTAAAAAGTTAAGTAGACTGGAATTAATATTAGCAGACCTGAGTTTTATTCTAAGTGCTTTTACTTACCTGCTATGGAAAAGCGTTTAATCTTTAGATCTCTGCTTTTTTTGTTTTTCATGTGTATATGAGCAAGTTAAGCTTCATGAACTCTGAATTCTCTTAGGTATAAGAGATGCATCTGTGAGAATGAAGTTTGTTCAGATCAAACATTTTCTTTACTCTTTCACTAATAAATTCTACACAGATCAGGTAGAGTTGCAAGAAATAGCAGTAGGAACAGATTTTGGATAATTGAAAAACATTTTTTGGAAGAATCTGGGGAAAAGGCAGGAATGCCTGCAGTGCCAGAAGACCTAGTAAGCAGCCAAGTTGCTGCTGTGTGGTGGCTGGCTCCACCTTTTGCAGTTCTTTTATCACACTGTTCCTGATGACCTTGTGGGTAGAGAATCTGACCCACCCTTGGGTCATATGCATACCCCTTGTAGTGAAGAGGGCAGAAGAGGATGGACTCTTGTTTCCAAGAGAAGACAGGTGATATTCTAAATGGAAATTGACCTGACATTTTGAACAGAAGGTGGATGGGGGCTTGTGCCAAGAAACCAGGAATAGTCCACTAGGGATGATGTACGTGTGTTCTAGGAGAGGTGAATATTTCATTTTCTTGGACTTAACAGTGTCAGGTAATCTAGATGATTGGTGCCAAAGGAAACACCACCTTCATCTCACGATATTCAAATATTGTATATCTTAAGAAAACAGTCCTGTAACTGCTGTAGTCTAGATCAGTTGTGCTGTTGACTTGTTATCACTTTCTGGGTCTTTGGAGTGTTTGCTGGCATAAACTGAGTTGCTTCTTGGTTTTCCCTGCTGCCAGCTTTGCTGAGTCAGTTCTGGCCTCCAGCATTTTTGTTGCTGTTGCCTATTATCTTGGTTTCCTTGTTCCTTGTAGGCTTATGAATTTACAGAATTGAAACAGGCAGAACTTTTAGTGTTACTTCAGTGAGGATTTGGTAGTGGAGTTTCATGCCTGTATCGCTTCTCATCCTCAGTCATGTGTCAGGGGTGATTGTTTGGGTTTATCAAGTGTTGGGCTCCCGGCTGAGAGGCAGCTGCTACCTGGCTATTTCATGCTGGTCAAGAATCATCCCGATAGACACCCTGATCCAGGATGTGAATGATATTTTACACGCATTTCTCTGTAGTATGTATGCTATCATCTAGCTTTGCACAGGTTCTTCAAAAAGATCATAGAATTCTGTATTATGAAAAAAACTGCATGGATTTCAAAAATTTTTTTGCACCAAAATAAACTGTTTTAAATTCCATTTTACAAGAACTTTCTGAAGCTCCTTTGTATTATAACTATTATTTTGAAGGCTCTCAGTTTTTCCTGAACTTTTATTTTAGTTATTTTAGTGCAGTTTGGGTTTTATGTTCCTTTTGTGTTGACAGCATTTGGACTTGAAGCCTGCAAGATAAGACTTTTCTTCACTGAAGCCAAAATTTACTGTTCTAATAGATAAACATGAGCCTTTATTGCCATATGTGATCAAGAGGGATTTTTTTTTGTTTCTATTTGAAGTTAGAGTGTATGAGATTATTTATTAAAAAACCAGAGGGTGGTTGTTTTTGTTCTTTATGATGCAAAAATATCATGCAGTCTTGCCAGCTGTCTGGCCTTATCCCATTTTTAGATTTGCAGCTGTAATGAAATACTGATAAAAAGAACAATTAATAATTTACTACTTCAACTAAATCCAGATTATTTCATTGTTTAACAAAACAACATAAGGAGCATTTGGATTTTGTTGGAAAATGTACTTATGCTAAAAACATACCTGAAACAACCAGTTTACTTAAGATAGCTTTAGGAATTTTAAAAACCAAGATCGTTTCTAAAATAAGTGGAAGTTCTGTTTCACTTTATCTGTTGCTCCTGCATAGATTAGAGGACTGAAGTAGAAACATCAGATTCTTGTTTAATTTTATTTAGATTCTGTCTGCTGATGCTTTGAAAAAAATCTATTCTGCAAGCATATTAAAGTTAAAGGAACAAGATATTACTAGCTGTATGGATAACTTGTATCCCAGCTGCTCCACTTCCAATCCAGCTCCCTGCCTAGGAAAAGCAGTGGAAGATGGTCCAACTATTTGGGCCTCTGCCACTCATATGGAACACCAGGATGAAGGTCCTGGCCCAGCCATGGCCATTGCAGCCAGCTGGGCAGTGAATCATCAGATGGGAGATCTCTAAGTCTCAAATAAATAAATCTTTTTAAAAAAGTGATGTTGAAGATAACTAATCTTGGGGTAATCTAAAAACATACATCTCCATCAATCTTAGTAGCCTCTGCTGATCATCTTAGTGTGTTTGTCAGCTTTTACAGCAGTAAAGCATATCACGGCAGCATTTGTATGTAAGGACACTTCAAAGAGTTCATGGGAAAATAAAATTGGAAAATAAGTTTATTTTTGTGCAAAAATTTTAAGGCCATGCATAATTTTTCATAACATGAATTTTCCATAAATTTGATTACCCTTCATATGCATGGGTTTCAAAAACCTGTCTTTAAAACATTCATAGAAAAATGAGTTCAAAGTCCTCTCATAACAGGAGGTAATGGGCCAGCTGTGCCTAGAGCACAGGTGGAAACAGTCACAACTTTTAATCCTTCAAGTCCCAGCATTTTTAGATTGTTACTTTTCTTTATAGCTCTGCTTGCCTGCTTTGCAGATTCTTCCCTTGGAATTTAAAGTTTCTTTTAAAATCAAATGCAGCTGATAAATCAACGCTCATTACCAACATTCTGTCTCAAAACTTCTTTGCAAATTAGTCAGAAATATTTTCTCCTGGTTTATTTTACCAAATGTTCTGCTGCTGTATGGTTTGGGTCATAATTTCTGCTACCAGCTAAAACAGTTTCCTCCTCATTTGTTTCCTGGCCTCTCCAGGAGCCACCATCACATATTGTTAGTTTTAGTTATAGCAGCCTCTCAGCAGCATCTACTGGCAGTTTCTCCAACTGTGGCCACTGCTGCAGTAACAAACAAAGCTGTGGTCTCAGGGCTCACAATAGTAAACATCTACTTGCTACTTAGATTTCATGGGTGTTTTGGGTTGGGTTTGGTTCAGTACAGTGTGTTCTCTCATTCTAGACCCCGGATGGAAGGAGTAGTGATGCTCTTCATATCCGAGTATTAGGATGCCCTAGTGATTGGCCAGAGCTAGACCATGCAACCTCAGTTAAACTGCACACATTTCCTTGGTCAGAGAAATCTAATGAGAAGTCTGTCATGGGGGTGGGCTGGGGTCAGAGCAAACAGAAGTGTGTGTACATTTTCAGTCTGTCTTACCTAGGATGTGACGTAGTTAAAATTCTGATCCAAAATATTTTCTCTTTATCTTGAACCATGTAGGCTCAGGTGCAAATGAAGATTCCAAGGACATAACTGCCTACCACACAGTGTTTCTTACAGCCATATTAGGAGGAACAATAGTCATTGTCATTGGATTTTTTGTTGTGCTGCTTTGTTATTGCAGGTAAGAAGAGCATTAATGAATGAATATAAACACAGACCCATCAAAATATCATTTTAGTATATTCTGTATATTCCAAATTATATTTGTAGAAATAGTATTCGACCTTCAAAATACATAATTAAAAATAAAATGGTTGTATTATACAGTAGCGTTGCTTATGTGATACCTATAGAACAGGGTGATTTTTAAGAATGAACTTTCTTGATCATAACTTTTAAATTTGGTTTTGCCTTCTCTCTAGGGGTAAGTGTGGTACTCCGCAGAAGAGGGAAAGAAATATCACTAAACTTGAGGTCCTCAAGAGAGACCAGACAACTTCAACAACACACATAAATCACATCAGTTCTGTCAAAGTTGCATTAAAAGCTGAGGAAAAGTCACAGCTATTCAATGCCAAAAACTCCACACATAGCCCTCAAAAGAAGGAGCCAGCAAATGCAGAACCAGAAGAAAGAGTTTCAATGGTGAAAACTCGGGACAATTTTAAAATCTACAATGAAGATGTTGCGTTTCTGTCAGTCAATCAGAACACTTACTCAAGAAACGCAACACAGTCTTTGGAGCCCAACGTAGGGTCCAGACAGCCTAACCACATTAACAACAATGTGTCTTCATCATTAGGTGATGCTCAAGAGGAAAAGAGGTATCTCACAGGTAACGAGGGGGTATTCGGGCATTCCCACATTCCAGAACAGCTTATGCATATCTACAGCCAGCCCATTGCCATCCTTCAGACATCCGACCTTTTCTCCACCCCAGAGCAGTTACACGCTGCCAAGTCAGCTACTTTGCCAAGAAAGGGACAGTTAGTCTATGGCCAACTGATGGAGCCAGTAAACAGAGAGAACTTTACCCAGACGCTGCCCAAAATGCCGATGCACTCTCACGCACAGCCTCCAGAGGCCAGAGAAGAGGATATGGTACTCGAAGGCCAACAGAGCTTGCCGTCCCAGACTTCAGATTGGAGCCGATACTCCAGCAGCTTACTGGAATCAGTCTCTGTTCCTGGGACACTAAACGAAGCTGTTGTAATGACTCCGTTTTCATCAGAGCTTCAAGGTATTTCAGAACAGACCCTCCTGGAGCTGTCCAAAGGAAAGCCCTCGCCCCATCCCAGAGCCTGGTTTGTGTCTCTTGATGGAAAGCCAGTCGCACAAGTGAGACACTCCTTCATAGACCTGAAAAAGGGCAAGAGAGCTCAGAGCAATGACACGAGCCTGGACTCTGGGGTGGATATGAATGAGCTTCACTCAAGTAGAAAGCTGGAGAGGGAGAAAACATTTATCAAAAGCATGCATCAGCCCAAGATCCTTTACTTAGAAGACTTAGACCTCAGCAGCAGTGAGAGTGGAACCACCGTCTGCTCGCCTGAGGACCCAGCTTTAAGGCACATCCTGGATGGAGGGAGTGGAGTCATCATGGAGCACCCTGGGGAAGAATCCCTGGGAAGAAAAAGCACTGTTGAAGATTTTGAAGCCAATACATCCCCCACTAGAAAAAGGGGCAGACCGCCGCTAGCCAAAAGAGACAGCAAGACCAATATCTGGAAGAAACGAGAGGAACGCCCACTGATTCCCATCAATTAATTCCAATAGTGGTTGTGTTTCTGCTGTCTTGTGCTGTTCTTGCTTCTTGTTGTCAATTACAGTATGAACTTAAGAAGTGAGACTGAGCAATCTTAAGGTCCATCGGCAGTCTCAAGCAGAGTAGATAGTAAAATGGTAATTCAGTAATCAGAGAGAAAGATACTGAGGAATGTTTTTTCTGGCCTATTCCTTTCATTTATTTTGGGTATTAATTTGAAATATCCAAGTTTTCAAAATGTAAAGTAGTGTAAGGTGTTATCTGAAAACATTACTTAGTCAGCCAGATGGGCCTTGACTCTCTAGAATAACAATGAAATGAGTACTCCTAAAGTTGCTTCCAAAAATAGAAATGAAACTCTTTTTCAGGCTTCGAATTCCTGTGAAATGTTACTGTGTTCTTCTCTGCCTACACTTGAAAATAGCTTGATAAATGTTCTGGATTGATGTCATTCTAGAGTTTAAAGACCAAATAACATTTTTTAATTGATAGAAACAGCATGCATATTGTATCATCCCAAAACTGGTTGTCAGGGAGAGAGATGCAAGCTCTTAGTTATTTTTGGATATAACTTTACCCAATAAGATCTTACTTGGAAATTATCCAAGTTTTATTTTCAATTTTTTTCCCTCTCTCAAAAATAAATGAGCTTAATTGTCCAGGAAAACTTTTTCCAAACTGAAAAAAAGAAAAAGACAGTTTAAGGCTCACTGATACGTTACCAATTTAAATGTATTTCTTCTATTCCAAAACAAATTTAGTCACTTAAATGGCTATCAAACTTGATGTTTTAAAAAAATCAATGACGTAGAAGTTTCTTATGAACATCAAAACATTAAAATATGTGAGATAAAGGATGTAGACATTTCACCCTTTTGTCTGAAATGTTAATGAACAGGAAAAAAGGCCATTTTCCAGAGGCTCAAAAACAATTTCGGGGATCAGCATTGTGGCTCATCAAGTTACGCCCTCATTTAGAATGCCAGCATCCCATATCAGAGCACCAGTGCCAGTCGCTGCTGCTCTTCTCATTCAGCTTCCTGCTAATGTGCCTGGGAAGTCAGTGGAAGATGGCCCAGGTGCTTGGGCCTCTGTCATCTGTGTGGGATACCTGATGAAGTTCTTGGCTGCAGCTTGGCCCAGCCTGGCCATTTGGGGAGTGAACTAGTGGATGGAAGATCTGTCTCTCCAACTCTTTCAAATAAGTAAATCTTAAAAAAATAACTTCAGGATAGTATCTGGGAATTCAGATGGTGGCATTCGTGAAACATGTTTGAAGAAAACACTTTCCATTTCAGGAGAAAAGTGAAAGTTTTTGTTTAATCATTTATGGTCCAGCATTTTTTGGAAATAATTTAGTACAGAATTCAGTGTGAACACATTCAAGAACTGTTTTTAATTATGTTTTTAACTCTGAATAATAATTCAGGTGTTCTAAAAATAAAAAGTCCTTGTTAATTAAAGTCAACCTACCCCATTTTTTTTTTTCTGAAAATTTCCATGAAGGCAAATGTGTGAAGCACCTCTCCTTTTCCTTTTAAGGGATAAATAAAACTAAAACTGCTTTAATTCTCATCCTCGGACATTCAACATGGGAGCAACTTAAATACCTAAGCAACATAAACAAGTTGAGAGAACCAAAATAGTCACATGAGCTTTAGTAAGACTGTAGATACATGTACAATGAACTACAACATTTTTTTTTTCCTACACCAAAATGTTAGCCTTCAGCCAATTTTTTTCCTATAACCACTTCTAAAACAGTTGTCCTTTCAGGTAAATCACCTACCTTTATGTATTAACCCAAAGAATGTAAAGACCCTGGCAAATGCTTGTGATAGATTACCCCAATCCATGGAAATGATAAATGTTTTGGGTAGTACCTTGGCTTTTTTTTTTTTTTTTTTGAGTAATGATAAGGCTCATATTTGGAGGAGGCTTCTTATTGGTCTTACACAGAAAGATAAAAGCAGCATGAATGAAAATGATTTGGAAAGGGTTAAGGGATAGTGCTCTGCTGAAGTGCCTTTGCTATAGAATCGCATTATTAGAAGGATATAATAACATCTTTTGTAATTGTACATTTTCTGTTAGCCAAGTTAAACAGATGTGCAGTTTTTTATTAATTTAAAAAACATAGACCTAGTGTTTCATGTTGGAACAATGAACTTTGCATGTAAGTAACATTTATCTCCTTCTTTTGTGGGTTTAATTTTTTTTAAAACCAGTATATTGATAAATGTTTATGTTGGAGTGAATTTAGAAACTGTATAGCAAAATGTTGCATTTCCTCAACATTTTAAGTATTTTTCTCACCTTCAAGTAAAAATATTTCATCTCCACTTGGTAATAGAATACATATAATATTATAAGGTTGCACCATTCAGTTGTGTCACTTTGTTTTTTTGTGGAAGGGAAATGAAACAGTGTATTCCAAGGGCTTTTCTAGAACTACTTACTTGGTTTATGCTTTTTTACACTGCACATGCTGTTTTCAATTGGGAATTTGAGGCAATTTATCTTTTTCTAATGATCAGAAGAGTGTGACTCCTTATTTGTGAGTAGTTCAAAGATTTCCTGTTAAAAATTGAAGCCATCTACTTTTTCTTAACCCAAGTGACAATAAACCAACAATATTCACTACTTTCTTAAATTTTTAAATTGAAAGCCAAGAGGTTTTCTGCAAATGTAAGCCTAGATAATTTTGGCCATAAATTGTTAACATTTGTGGATCCTTTTTACATACTTTGGATATATCTTGAAGGCAAAACTTCCCTCAATTAACTGATGGGTTCATTCACTAAAAAGCACAGCTATATGTAACTTTTGAATACATAATGATCTTTTGAGACTTTATAAAAATCAATTTTTATGACTTTATGCAGTTGTATAGGGATTATGCCCTTTTATAGTAGTATACCACAAAGATCACAAATGTTGAGGAATGAAAGTACTTCTTTGCTTTGGCAATCGTTTTCAGATTACTTGCTGTGTTTGAATTCTCTGGTATCAATGCATATTATGGGTTTTTAGAGATCTGTATGTAAAATGATGTCCCTCCAAACTTCACAGAAAGGTGAAGTTCAAGGTAACACATTGATTTGTAAAATATGAGTTACTTATTTCCCCATGCACCAGCATCATGAAGGGATTTGTCTGTATTAATTTCCATTTCAGATCTAGAATTGACATTTGGCCTTCTTGTTTCCAAGTGTTTTTATGTTTTGTATTCTTTTCAGAGAAATTCACAATTCAGTGTATTTATTGCCATTACTACCACATTTACTGCTGAAAACTGTAATAATCTGAAGATTTGTAAAATGTTAAACAGTTCATTAAACATAAAATAAACCTAAAATTTTATTTGGTGCATTGTTTAATTCTAGGTAAACTATGAAGCACACTCATTTAATCCATAAACATTCAATCGATTTTACTTTTTGTTCATTACACACCCTACTAGTAAAATCAACCCTTGGTTTATATGATTATACTTCATGTCTCCAAAGTTCACATTTAAGGAGATAAAGTTAAAGACAGATTTCATATAGTCAGAAGATTTAATCTGATAGAATGTAAAATAAATTGCAGTCTCCAAAACAGCAGTGAGAAAATGATTCAATATCCATTTCACCTTTTAAAATATTTCTTGGACTTTCAAATTCAGAGTAAATTATAACAAAGAATCTAAACAGTGTTAGATCCCCAACAGCCCTTCTGCTTAGCCAACGATATTAAGTTTAAGAGGTTTGTATTTGGGAACTGTACAATACTTTGTAAAATCATCCTGGCACATTTCATATATATATTTCTATATATATATATATATATAGAAATAACTTTGCTTACTTCTGGGAACTGGGCTCTAAATCCATTCATAAAAAGCAAGGTATCTGGGGCTGGCCTTGTAGCACAGTGCGTAAAGCCACTCCCTGTGACATCAGCGTCCCATATGGGCACATCTTCTCCACTTCCAACCCAGCTCCCTGCCAATGCACTTGGAGAGGCAATGGAAGAGAGCCCAAGTGCTTGGATCCCTGCCACCCACATGGGAGACCTAGAGGAAGTTTCTGGCTGTTGGGGCCATCTGGGGAGTAAACCAACAGAAGATTATTTCTCTCACTCTGACCTTCAAATAAATATATCTTTAAAAAACAAAACATGATACCATAGAGCCTATGACCCTTAACACTAGCATTGTGTTAAAGACTTCAGTTAGAGCCCTCCAAGTGCCAGCTAGGCTGCGGCTGCCTTTATTCCAAGGCCTGATCTCTATGTGATCCTAGAGACTTAGCAGAAATGATGCAAACCCTGGAGGAGTCATGAGGATCCAAACTACACAGAACTGGTTTATGATCAAAAACATTTCTTAGATCCTAATCATGTGATTTCTGAAATCACAGTGTTCATGAGCTGGTCATAATATTGTCTTCTCAGGAAAACTAGTGAGACTGAAAAATAACTGTAGGAAAGGATGTTGAATGGAGGTCATAGAATTTTAAATTAGTTAATCAAAAGTTTTTTACCTCTTAGTCCTTAATAATTGTGATAGTCAAGAACACTTCCCTTGAATCACATGTTGGGAAAATGTTAAACACAATATTTAGGATCTGAAATTCACTTTTTGATCTTGTGTAGATTTCTTTTTCATGATACATGGTGAGAGCTTAATTCTATGAATAAGTTCTCTGAATCAGATGGGGGGTTAATTTCTGAGGTAACTACCTCATTGCTTTAGATTTGGGTTTGTTTCTTCCATCAAGGAAATTTCCTGTGTTTTCCCTTTATTTTAAGCCTCAGTGTAGGTTGGTATTGTAGAATTCTATTAAGATTTTTTTTTAATACTTTCAAGAAGTGGTGCTCTGTTGCAGCAGATTAAGCTGTCATTTATGACAATCACATCCCAAGTATTGAGTACAGGTTTGAGTCCCAGCTATTCTGCCTGCAATCCATCTTCCTGCTAAAGTGCTGGGCCCTGCCACCTACTTGGGAGACCTGGATGTAGTTCCTAGGTCTTGGCCTTGGCCTTGCCAGGCAACAGCTTTTTAGTCATTTGGAGTGACCAACACATGGAAAATCTCTCAAATGACTAAATATTTAGAAAAATATATATGTACTTTCAGACAGCATCTAAGAAAAACACTAAAAATCAGCCATGGGGCCAGCGCTGTGGTGTATAGGGTTAAACTGATGCCTGTAATGCAGGTATCCCATCTGGGTGCTCTTTGGTGTCCTGGCTGCTCTACTTCTGACCAGATCACTGCTAATAGGCTAGGCAAAGCAGCAAAAGATGGCCAAAGTTGTTTGGGCCCCTGCCACCCACATGGAAGACCCAGATGAAGCCCCTGGCTCCAGCCTGGCTCAACCTTGGCCATTGTAGCATTTGAGTAATAAACCAGTGGATGGAAGATCTTTGTATCTCACAAGTAAGTAAATCTTTTTTTTTGACAGAGTGGACAGAGGGGAGACAGAGAGAAAGGTCTTCCTTTGCCGTTGGTTCACCCTCCAATGGCCACTGCGGCCGGCACACTGCGCTGATCCGATGGCAGGAGCCAGGTACTTATCCTGGTCTCCCATGGGGTGCAGGGCCCAAGTACTTGGGCCATCCTCCACTGCACTCCCGGGCCACAGCAGAGAGCTGGCCTGGAAGAGGGGCAACCGGGACAGAATCCGGCGCCCCGACCGGGACTAGAACCCGGTGTGCCGGCGCCACAAGGCGGAGGATTAGCCTAGTGAGCTGCGGCGCCGGCCCTCAAGTAAGTAAATCTAAAAAAAAAAAACAAAACAAAACAAAAAAAAAACAATTTATAGCGTTAGGGGCCCAAGATGTTATAAACTAAAAAATGGTAAAATGTTTCCATTTTAAGGACAAAAACCCAATCACACTTTACTCCGTCTGTTAGCTATAGATGAACATCTTCCTATTTCTGTTGGAAAAGTTCACATGTTGAAAAGCATATGCTATTTTTTTTCCTTAGGTGACAAACCATTCTTAGTTTCACTGTGTATATCCTGGTTTTCAGTCATACACTTGATATAGCTGTGAATAATATTCCACAGTGTTGTAGGAATACCCCGATTTCCCACATGACTTGGTCTTTTTCTTCTATTCTCTAAGTTTACTGTAGGTTTCATAATTTATCTGTTGACTGGTTCTAATCCTTGTAGACCTTATTAAAACCCTAGACTTAACTGCAGACAGTGTGATTCAAAACAAACCAGGTAATTACATTCCCAAGAGACTTTGGGCTTATTACACATGAACAACTTAGATAACAACCTTTCCTAAATGATATTATAAAAAGCACAATTGTGGCTAACAGGTGTTATGGAATAAGTATCTTGGAATGATTTTATCGAATATATATATTTTAGTCCAGAAAATATAATACTATTTTACATACAAAGTAGTTCCTAAAGTGTTTCAATTTAAATTTATTTCCAATAGGCAGAATTTTATAAGTACTATTTTGAAACTGATTTGTAATTTAGATAACTTATGCAAAACTTTTGTCCATTAAAAAGTAGAATAGTTTAATATTTTTATATTTTCTCATTGTTACTATTTTTAACATTTAGTGTTTATGATTTAAAAAATGAATTACTTATTCTATGGATTATTTAACAAAAACATTGATCTGATTGGTCATTAAAGAGGATGTTAATGACAAGTAGATGAGGTTTATAATTTGAGTTTAACAGCTGTTTCTATGGAGTGCTTAATATTTATAAAATAAAAGGGAAAAGAAACCAGAATTACTTCTCTGGCAGATTATTCTGTTTTTATTAATGTATAGGTTAAATGGAAAAAAAGGACCATGAAAATGAATTTATGTTAAAGGCCTTTAGCACGTGCTAGTTTTCTGAAAGCCTGGTTTCTCAAAAAGTCATTCTATTGGTCTATCATTTGCTTTTTCCATGATGCAACATAAGCTATAATGAATTAGCTAACAAGATAATTGTACTTTTTCTCCTTTGTATTGGGACTTGTATATTCCTGCTTCATCTAGAAGTCAAGATGAAATCTGACACTATTAAATGTAGCCTTAGTAAAGCAATTTGAATCTGAATCAGAGAATTTCTAAAATTACATCTGCCACTGGATGGACTCCTCAGTTCACTTCTAAAAATATAAAATTTGTTGATTATGTATGGACTGCCTTATGATATGTACTAAATTATTATATTGAATGGATATTTATATCATTTATTTTTGTCTCCTTAGATCGTTAGATTCTATGGGAGGGAGTATGCTTTATAATTCACCTGAGTCCCAACAATATATTTAAATAATATACACGCAGTAAATATTAAGAAGTTACATATTGAATGGATAATGGATTTTTTTCAGTGGAGGAGGAAGGAGAGTGAAGTCACCAAGATGGTAGGAAAAAACAACTCCCATATTTGTATTCCTGCATTAACCATAATTTAGCAGTTACCCACAGACAAAAGCACCTTTGTGGGAGATTTGGGATCCAGATAGGAGATTGTGAAGCCCTGATAGAGTCCAAGGCCTAGGAGCGCTATTTTGAGAAGGTATTACCATGCCCAGTAAGCAGGATGGTAGACTGTTGTCCATAGTCTATAACTAGAAAAGGCCCTGACCTCAAGGAACTCAATTAGCCCTGTTTGGCTTGGGTTTTGCTACCAGAACCATCCACCAAGGATCTAAGAGGAGTTAAACCCACTTATGCCTGATATGATAGGTCTGCTGATCTTTTTCTTGGCTGTAAATTCCCAAGTGACCCAGAGACCCTGCTCCAGTCCCTTTTTGCTGAAGGCTAAAGAAGACCTACTCCCAGTGAGATACCTGGTGGTGGTGGTGATAGTGTTATGTATGTTTGAGTCCCCAGGGACAGACCCAGAGAACTTGATTTTGGGGCCAGCGCTGTGGTGCAGTGGGTTAATGCCCTGGCCTGAAGCACCAGCATCCCATATGGACAACAGTTCTAGTCCCGGCTGCTCCTCTTCTGATCCAGCTCATCAGTTCTAGTCCCGGCTGCTCCTCTTCTGATCCAGCTCTCTGCTATGGCCTGGGATAGCAGTAAAAGATGGCCCAAGTCCTTGGACCCCTGCACCTTCGTGGGAGACCTAGAGGAAGTTCCTGGCTCCTGGCTTCGTATCGGCGCAGCTCTGGCCGTTGAGGCCAAATGGGGAGTGAACCATCGATGGAAGACCTCTCTCTTTCTCTCTCTCTCTCTGTGTGTGTGTCTCTCCTCTCTCTGTGTAACTCTGACTTACAAATAAATAAATCTCTTTAAAAAAAAAAAAAAAAACTTGATTTTAGCTGTGTAACTGGAAACAGCCTCATGACCAGATTCGAGCCCATCTAATCAGTTGGGGGCAGGGAGCCAATATGG